CTGCCTGTTCCCGAAGGATAAGGCTGTGTGTGTATGCAGGGACTTCTGCCGGAGGAATTAGGACCTTCATGGCTCCTGTGAGGGCATTTCTCCTCCTGACGACTGCCTTCCGACACAGCGGAATGCCCCGCTCCCCAGCACGGGACAAGCCAGTGGGGTCCCAGTGCTGATCCAGCAGAAGGGAACAGTGGAAACCCACCCACGTAAATACTGGCCATGTGCAGCCAGTGTCAACATCCGGCACACCCTGAGCCTCCGAAACGCAGGGAAGGCGATGGAGAGCCATGGCGTGAGGCAGCCGCTGGATCCGGCCGGAGCAGGCAGGGCGCCCCGGAGCTGAGCACAAAGCGGACGGCAGCAGCTCCCGCTCGCAGGTTTTCTCTTTAATGGTTTGGTTTCTGTTTTGTACATTCGTAAAACTGTGAACAATAAATACTGCGTGATCGGCCTCCACCTCCCACTTGCCCCCTCCGGCTTTCTATGGAGGTGAGGGAGACCGTGAGCGATGCGGCGAGGGCTGCTGGCACCAGCTCCGCTGGTGGGAGAGGTGCCCGGCTCACAGCGTGGGCACCACGGAGCAGGGCTGGGAGTGGCAGGATGGAGTCAGGGGCTGGGGATGGAGAGGGGACTTGTGTGCAGGCAATGTCTTGGCTAAAAAGGGGTGAAAGGCAGTGCTGCCTGGTGGCCTGGGCACTGATACCCTGCTGAAGCCCATAGCTGCTGGTCACAGAGCTCAGCTACCCCTCTGGTGTCTTGGACCTTCCAGATGCCCAAGTTCAGATGGGGACCTGCTGAGAAAACCAGTGTGATGCTTGGGGCTGGGAGGAGATGGGGCTCCCGGGTGGGCCTACATATCTTCTTGTTCCTCAGAGGAGGTCAAGGCCAGGTGGGCAGGAAAGGATGGCGCGGGGAAATGGGGCTCCAGCTTCTTGGCTGTGGCTGTGGGTGCCCAGCTGTGCACTGGGTGGGGGTGCTGGCGTGAAAGATGCACAGAGAAGGGGATGTGGGGGAGAGTAGGGAGCCCTGAGATACGGGAACGGGGCGATGCTGGCATGGGGGACGGCAGCTGCAAGGGCTGCGCGAGCAAGGGAGCTGGGAAGGGGTGGGTGGTAGTGGGGCACAGGGTGGCAGAGGGGCACAGGGTGGCAAAAGAGGCTGGAGAGAGACCGGCAGGCTGTTGGGAGTGGGCAACGGGAGCAAGGGGACTGCGGTGGTGACGGTGTTACGGCACTCGAAGATGGCAGAGCTGTTCAAACCCAGAAAGAAAGTCCCAGTGCCACCTCCCCTGGGCTCTGGGATGGAGGATCCTGCGCTCAAGCTCTGGGGTCTGTTCTGGTGGGGTCTCATGATCTTCACTTTGGCCTTGTGGGGCCAGGGCCATGCTGGGAAGCAACAGGATGTGACCCATCAAGAAGATCTGGAGCTGGCACAAAAGGCCCACAGTGCTGAGCTGAGCATCTCTGCTTTCCAATGCCCCCCCTGCCCCACATGTTTCTCCAGAGAGGAGACCAATAACTCCACAGGCCTGTGTGCCCCAAGCGAAGTCCTTGAGCAAGAAATAAACCCCTTTGATGAGGTGGAAGCTTTGTCCAGAGAGCAACTGAGTGAGAAGAGTCAACTCTTCCTGGTGTCTGGGTCCATCAAAGTACTTGGGAGTCCCAGGCGCCACGTGTGGGCATGCCTTCTTCGGCCACCACAGCAGAATTGCCCACTTTGTGCCCAAAGAAGAGCCAGTGTCTCAGGCTCCCTCGCTGTGCCGTGTTGGTCCTTTATTTGTGGCTTTGCTTGCTGTCCTTGTTGTCCTGCCCTCCCGTCCCCATCCCGGCTCTTCTCCTTGCAAAGAACAAGCCACCAGGTCAAGTCCATGTGCTAACAGGAGACCCCACCATCTCCTGAACAGGGAGTGTGGGTGAGAGAGGAAGCAGTGCCTGGATTTTCCAAGCTGAGGAGAGCACGTAACTACTCCTGCCACGATGGGAGGGAGTCCAAGAAATCCTGGCCTTGAGGACATCCAGAGCCAGAGCAGAGTCTGCTCAGCAGGGTGGCAGGGGACAGGGAGGTGTGACGGCCTCATGGCGAGACCCCCTGGTGACCACGGGGAGAAGGTGGCCACCTGCCCCGGTGGTTAGTTCTTCAGGGCTCGGGCTGAGGGACAGCTGCTCAGCACCCTTCCAGCTTGGGGCAGACCAAGTTGGTCCCTTCAGAGTCATTTTTAGGGTCTTTGCCTCTGGAGCAGTGGGGTTCATGGCAACGTCCTCTCACCCGTTCTGCTGTCCCATGTGTCATCAATTGGGGGATGAGGACTAGTGGGCAGGAGCTCGTGGGAGCTGCGCTCAGCAGGATCGGGGGCTCCGTGAGGAACGTGCATCACATCTGCATGGGGAGAGGCCAGCGGGCAGAGGGAGGAGAGGTCCTTTCCGTTCAAAGGCAAAAGAAGGAGCCAGATCCTGGGGGACCGGTGGGCAGGGACACGTCCCCACACGTGGCACAGAGCTCAGGATCGAGGTGTGGAGCTGTGGCCAGGTGGCTCCCGTGTCGTCATTGTGGCTGGAGGATGTTCTTGTCCCCACAGTGCGGAAAGTACTTGGCCTCCGGGTTGGTCCCAGCTGGGCATCCCATTCCCTGCTGTGACTCCCAAGCCACCATGGGACAAAGCCACCATGTCTTTGCTCTGTACAAGGTGACAGCCACAGTCTCTTTGAACACAACCATGGCTGGACCAGGGCTTGGCCTTGCAGATGCCCTGTCTGCGGTCCCTCCCCAGTCCACAGACTATGGGTTGTGAAAGTCCCTGAGTGTCTCTGATGAGAGGGCTGGGTGAACCTTCTGCTGAAAGCTTGGTGCTTTTACCAGTTTGATTTTCTTGCCTGCTGGTGACTTCCCTCTGGAAGGGAGCTTCAGGACCAGGGAGCTGAGGCTGTGAGCATGCAGAGCCCGGGAGCACCATCCATGACACTGGGGTAGGACAGGGACTGGTTTTTCACACCTCACAGAGTCATCTGTGGGAGCCAGCTGGGACCCCAAGCAGTGTGGCCCCAACCAGGCAGTGGTTAAGCTTTCATCCATGGGGAGGAGAGGGAGCGGGGAGGTGGGACACTGGGAAGGTGAAGCATGAGGTGGTCAGTGAGATCCAGGAGCTTTCGGGCAAGGTGGAGTTAGGGATCGGCATGCAGAGGGCTGTGGACACACACTGCGTCTGTCTCGCTGGGAAGGCTGCAGGACATGGAGCGCTGCATGGCCCGGCAGCCCAGGGGCCCGTCCTCGGTGGTGACCGGGAGCTGAGGGCCCTGGGTGGTGCTGGATCTGCCATCGGAGCAGAGCAGGACGCTGGAGTCTGCCTCGCACTTGGTGGTACGGCTGTAGTAGGGCTCCATCACGTGCCGGAGCTCCAGGGGCATGGTGAGCGGCAGGACCTCAGCCTTGATGACAGCACCCAGGTGGGCCTCAGAGGAGGATGCCCGGAGGCTCTCGGAGCGGCTCATCTTGATCAGCAGGTCGATGGTTTTGTTCTCGGCCTCGAGGAGGCAGTTTGGCAGCCCCTCCCCGTCTCCAGCCTCTCTGGTGGCCATACATGTGTTGAAGGTCCCTTGGTCTTTGCCGTGGAGCTTCTCACTTCCCAGGCTGATGTTGCAGGGCTCCTTCTTGGCCTGCTGGACCTTCTCCAGACCTTCAGAAGACCTCTTCACCGAGAGGTCCAGAGGCCCCTCGTGGGGTTTGGTGGCTTTCTCCAGTGCCTGGTGGATGTGGTAGAGCTCCCTTCGGATTTTGACCAGCTGGTCCCTCAGCTCTTTTTGACCAGGGGTGTCCTCCTTTGCCAGATCGGACAGTTTCTTCTCCACCTCTTGGTATTCCTCTAAGGTTTTGGACAGGTCCCCGATAAGGACGGTTGTGGCCTCAGAGTCTGTCACGGTGGCAGAA